AGTTATTCATAGTGGCTTGTTAAACTTATTTTTCCCACAGCTTTGCCTTTTCTGTTTTCATGTCTGCCAATGACTTCTGGAAGTTTTTATTACTTATGATAAATAGAAAATATTGACACATCATTCTGAGTTTCTGTACTGCACAGAGAGTACTGAACAGTCGACATCATCAGGTAGCAGAAATGAGGCCTTGATAGCTGATTATTTCTGCAACAAGCCAAAGAACACACAGTAAAACAAGCAGTATTGGACAATACAGCAGAAAAATAGCTTGAACACATACAGGATTACAATGAGTAGCGATGGGTTTTTAAACGTTCATGTTTTTTATGTTTAACCCATTACTTGCTGAGTTATTGCAGTTGTTTTCTGGGCATTCATATGTTAAAAAAAAAAAAAACAGCTGTTCTTTTTTCATTTAGACTCAGGGATCCTAACAGAAGAATTTGGAGCCCCACTGAGCCCAGTGAATCCACTTTTAACGCTCGACTCGGTCCATGGCCGGGTTAAAAGGTTATCAGGCTTGTTAGTTAATATTTTTTAGGATTTGGCTAATGTTCATCTGAAGTAAATTGATAAAACCAGTTTAGGAGTTATTAATAAACATGTCTGTGTGGCTTGATAAAATAATATTTCAAATTGGTTAGAAATAGATCAGACTGAAACATTCAAGTTGTTATTTGATATTGGGCTTTTTGTCACTTTGTTAGCAGAATAGTTGTAATATTCTTGTATTGTTGTGATATGTTGGTGATTCTGTTGATGTTTTTTCGTCGTTTGGCTCCTGTGCGTCATGGACTGCCTCATGCTGCTGAGTTTTGTTGGTTGGTTTAGCCAATAAGATTAGGATCTTCTGCATAAAGAAAATACAACAGTTATAATACTTTGCTCTGCAAGGTTAAAAACAACAGCATCAACAGTGAAACAATGTTGTTTTTAGCTGCTAAGATAAAAAGATCCATTTTTACTTCTTCTTGGTTGTATTATGGAGGCAACAGGTCCAGGAGGGAAACCCAGACATCCCTAATCCCAGTGACACTTCAGCTTCTCCTGGGGGATACCAAAGGGCACCAAAACCAGATATATAATCCATGCAGTTGGTTCTGGGTCTGCCCAGGGATCCTCTCCCAGCAGGCCAAAACTTTCAAGGGAAGGTGTCCAGAGGGCATTTTACTCAGATGCCTGAAACATCTCAGCCGACTCCTTTAAAAGCAAAGGAACAGCTGCTCTACTCTGAGCTCCTACTATTATTTTTAAACTAGGTCACTGTATGAAACAATAAATAAATAAATAAATAAATAAATAAATAAATAAATAAATAAATAAATAAATAAATAAATAAATGAATAAATAAATAAATAAATAAATAAATAAATAAATAAATAAATAAATAAATAAA